AAATTAGCGATTCGGATTTTTTGATGAAAACATAAACTTCTCCTTCGGGAAGTTAAAAACAATAAGCACTAAGTTTTTGTAGATGTTTTGTAGAACGTTTTTAAACTTGTTGCGTTTCTTTATAAGGATTTTTTTCAGTTCACACCTATCATTAAACTCTCCGGATGAATCAATTCGGTCATTTTTTTTAAACATTGTTTGAACTGTTGTTTATAGTTTTAACTAAATTTATTTTTATATAAGTGAAACAATTAACTATCAAATCCTTGATTATTGTATGAAATAAATAATTTTCAGATCATTACAAAACAAATAGTCGAATCACTAACAACAACCTTAAAGTATCATTTCCAAGCCACGTATTTTTCCTATTATTATCCCCAATTATAATTTCACCTTGATATATCTATGTCACAAAAGTATTCCTTCGTTCTTCACGGATTCTAATTGGAACTGTTAAACAAAACAATTTATAACAATTGCTGTAGCATATGTATAATACCTATTGTTACAAGATTACGCATATATAATTGGCAGTCAATTTTCTTAATGTTACTTTATAATGCCCACGTATTTTAAAGCAATGGTGGTGGAAAATGACACAGAAATTCATTGCAAAATGTTTATTTAGATAGATAAGTAATAAATGAAATTGTGCAAAAAATATAAAATCAGGTGATGGAGTACTGTTTATCAAATACTGTGCCTCTGAATTTTTATGATTTATATGAATTTCAAAGATCGCTATATTTTTTTATATTTTATAATTCAACAAGTTAACTAGTTTTTTTTTTAACTTCCCGAAGGAGAAGTTTATTTTCATCCAAAAGTCTGATTCGCTAATCTTATGTTTTCTCGACGTTCCAAGCCGTTCTGAATCGAATAAGACCAAATTTGGAAAAAGTATGTATGTGTATGTGTGTGCGTGAACAGATTTTTTTATATATATTACACTTCAACAAGTTAACTAGCTTGTGCACAAAAAAATAGTTTAAAAAATTGAATTTTTCACAAATCCTTAATAAGCATTTTGTAATCACAAATTCAAAGTTTTAGAGTTGAAACTTTAAAAAAAAAAATATGTCCATCTCCACATATTCAGTTATAAAAATTAGTTAAGATTTGCAATACTATTAAGCTATTAAAACTTTCTTTTGTATGATGAAGAACAAGATTTGTATATATTTATATATTTTTATTCATTCATTTATTATTACATATATAATGAAAAATATTTGGATATGCTATTGTATACATAATTCAGCTTAAGCTATATATAAAAATATATAATTGCTATATTAAAACTTTTGCTAAATTAAAGATAGAATTAATTTTGTTACCAATACATAAAATTTAAAAAAATATAAAATATTCTAGAAAAGGGTAAGTAATTTAACTTCTTGTAAGATGTTGCACAAATAAGAGACTAATATAAATTTAAAAAAACAAATGTTTCAATATATTTTACTTTTCCTTAAATATCTTGATGCAGATCGAAAACTTTGTTAATTTGTTTTATTCTTGAACCGAAAAACTAAGTTTATATGTGTTAATTGTTAAGCGCACTGCCTCGTGAGGACAGGGTCATGCAGTAGTGATATCAATTTTTACTTGAAAATATAGATCAAATATATGTTTCCAATTGAAAATAGCCTATTTTTGGGTACTGTGGTATAAATTAGCAATGGGAAATCTCTCACACTATTCTTTCCCGAATCGAGTTGGGGTTTAACTCAGCTCATAGACCTGCCTAGGGCAGTACTGTAATGTTACTTAAAATATTTGATATATTATCTAGAATCAGAAAAGTAGAATATGTAAAAACAATGGTCTTGAAAAATTATTTTGAATATCTAAAAGAAAATCTAGTAACTGATGCTAATAAATTCATATTAATTTAATATTAACTTCAACTCTCCAAAGTGTCTTCATTAAAATGTCTGATTTAAGACATCTAAGACTAAAAAAATAATTCTGCTTAATAACTCTGGATGAGTGATTGCAAGTAAATTATATTTTTATTATTTATGTTCAAAATAACAAGAGGACCTAAAAGTTTAAATCTTTCTCACCTATGATCTCTAGATACACATGTGTATATATATTAAATGCATCACAATGAACATGAGTATTTATTTATTGCAAAATCAACCGAGTGTGAATTTGAAGTTACGCAACAAAGGTATATTGTACGAATATATATATATATATATATATATATATATATATATATATAAATCCATTCTCTCCGGCATTAATCTTCCAATAGGAATCCAGTGAATGATACAAGGTTACAATGGCAGAGAGTCCGATTGGTTGGAATCAACAATGCGTGCAAATATAATGTAACTCTAATGTACATTAACGTTGCTTTAGAATGAATACATAATAACTAATATAATTACGAATCACTAATACATACAATTGAATTACTACAGCCATTTTGATTCAACTATTCTTCTGCCGAAATATTCTGAACAGTGGTTTAACTACAGGTAAGTATGATATTTAGGATCTACGGTTTGTTTATATTAATTAATAATCATTCTTTGTAGCTGATACTTTTTCAAATGTACTAACACTATTTTATATCATTATTTTTATATACTTTACATTATATAAACGTTAGCTCATAAATCCTTCCATTGCGGTCAATATATAAAAAACTATTTCATCCCTGATTTAGAAGGCATAATCCATTTGAACTTAAACTGGGTAAGAATCACGGAATTTGAGATACCCAGCTGTAAGTCTGTAAATACTTGTATATTGACACCCTAAAGTTGTCTCAAAACCTACATATGATATTGACACCCTACCATATGTAGGTTTTGAGACAACTATAGGGTGTCAATATAAAAATATTTACAGACTTTGCAGAATAAAGGCTAGATATCTCGAATTCCGAGGTGAACTTACGATAATGACTAGACTAGCCACAGATTTTACCAAAATCAGAAAAGGAAATAGTAAAATATTTAAATTAACATAAAAAAAAGAAGTTAAAGCTATAAATCTCAAATAATGTTTTGCTTTTTTGTGTTTAAATTATTGCGAAATTTCTATAAAACTTATTTTTGTCATGTTTAATAATGCTATAATCATTTTTTACAAGTTTTCATAAATCTTTCATACTAGGAAGTTGTATTGAGAAAAACAAATAATTGAGTTTTGAAAATATAAGTCAAATTAATTATCTTAAATTATGTTCTAACGCGGAATGCGTATAGAAATTATTTATATAGTATGAAAATTATTATTTGTATTGCTTTCTAGTACAAAATATTATTTTTTGTACTAGAAAGGTATGGATTAATAATAAAAACGTGGTATAAAAAACTAATTAGTTTTATCATTCGTGAATCAAATAATCATTGATCTGGTTTAGAAAAAATTACTCTATTTTATATTGAATGAATAAATAATTAAAGTGTTAATTTTATACGAATAGTCAAAAAATGCGCTATAAGTATGAGAATTTTATACCAAAATTTAATTAAGATATAATTTAGTACATTAATAAAAGGTGAACCACTGGGTTTTGCTTTTAAAATTCTATGTTATTTGTCAAACTAATTACTCAATGTCTTTCTATTTAGACAGATTATAATTAATAAGAAAATAGAAAAAAATAAAAATGAGAATTGTTGGTTGTACTTAAACGTTTCATATAGAAGCCTTAGCCATTAACCTCCATGGTAGGACAACCGAAATTTAAGAATTTATGTAGTAATTGATATAAGATTTACATTATTAAAATGCATTTTAAGTAGTCACTCAAAATCGCCATAAAACAGTAATACGTTTTTTCAAACTATAATCAAATAGTTTGAAAAAAAACGTAATAGAATATATCTTGCTTTTATGGTAATTTAAAATTTGGTTATTATTTACTCTGGTGAAATGCATGCAAAGTACTTCACATAGTTTGTAAAATGTAATAAATTGATTTCTTTTCTTCAGATACCCTGACTAAGATATGAAAATAATATATAAATAAATAAATAAAAAAAATAAATAAAAAAATAACTAAAATAAAAAAAAAAAAATTAACAATAGTTTAAATAAAATGTCTGAGAATATGACTTTCTGTAGGGTAAGTTATAATAATCTGAAAAAATCGAAAATGATTTTTATGCACATCTTTACGTTTCAGAGGTTTCTAAATATTTTGGTATACCTTATAATTAGACAAAATAGATATGTCGATGTATGAATAAAATTTTTCGTCGACGTTTTCGGAAGAATTCAAAAAGTATTCGATTTGTAATGATGGGGAGATTTGCTAATTTTGGCAAAGGCCAGTCTCCCGTTTCAAAGATACGGGTAAATAATAGTGCAAATAATAGCAATTAAGTTTTTGAAGCGTCGTATTTGAGTAATTCAAAAAACGTTGCAATTGTGATAACGAAACGAAGGAGTGATTAAATTTTCGGAAGGCGGTCCAGCGATTTTTGAGATACAATAAACAAAATTTTAATTCAATAAAAAAATCTATTTGGCAGTCAAAAATAAGCATTAGATATGTGCACTTCAAATCATCAGGTAATATATAAAGATTTTAATCATAAGTACAAATTTTGTTCACAAACAGCTTAAGTAAGTCTGCGACGCAGCGCTTACGTGATTTGAAATTTGAAATTTTCAAAAAATATCAAAATTGACAAAAATGTTATAAACTAGAATTTTCAAAATTCTTGAAAAAAACTGTTTTTCTCAAAATTAAAAAAAAAAAAACTAAAACTGAAAAAAAATTAAAATATTAAGAAAAGTTCCAGCAATTTGTCTCAAGGCACCATGCCATGCACTACTATTTAAAATATATTTCATCCAAAATTGATGAAATGCATACGATGTAATAAAATAAACCCTAAAACGGAAGACAATATTTTTTTTAAAGGTATGCCAAAATTATTCTGTTTAATCTATATAAATTAAACAAAATGTGTAATTAAAAATATATCAATAAACAAAAACAAAAATAATTCGGTTCCCCTCACCTGCATCTGCAATTGAGCGCAGTTATCCGTCGGACTGGTCGCCTGCCCTTGCCAATAGTTCGGGTTGTAGCAATATGAATACAGGGCCGTTTGGGGCGGACTATTATTGATCGAGTCGAGGGCCCAGAGCGGTTCGTTCGGAACTATTTGGTCACCTGTTCGGCCCTGGGCTAAGCCGCCCCTGTCCATGGGACCGGACTCCAATAGTTCTATCATCAATGCTGATTTGATAATAGACGTAGTAACACTTAATTAAAATTGTCTTTTGGGGGTTTTAGATAATTGCGATGGGGTTTGAAATCCACATTTTTCACTTGTACATTGTATAGTGACATATATTTTATTTGGTTTTAATAGATGAAAAAAATGGAATTTAAATGCATTTTAAATCCAATGGTTGTTGCAAAGGCGATAGGTGATTTAATTACTGTTTTGTATAAATTTGTAAACAATTATTTAATCAAATCTTAATTACAGGCACTGATATCATCATAACTATTAATATCCATTCACTCCAACGTACTTCAATAACTACAACGATCCAAAATCTTCAGAAAATTTGGTTTTTGTTCATTAGAGCACTTGTGGTTAAGGCACAATATATATTAATTAATGCAATTTTTTATCAAATTAATTCACAATCAACTGTTCTGCGCAAAAGTACAATTTTAGTTGCACATAAACAAAAATTATGTAACATTATTAAATTTAATGTAAAACACACAAAATAATCAAAAATCTCGACAAATCTTGAAGCTGGCCCAAAACCGGATTATAATAAATTTTGAAAAGTTATACAATAGGCAACGTGTGTGTCATATATAAACATTGTATTGTAGATCGATTTATGAAGGAGTCGAATGAAGGTTTACACATTAAATTATATTTTTTATACAAATGTTAATAAATCCCACAGGTAGATGCAACAATTTGTAATAATTAACTGTAGGTTATAACACATTTATAAAATCGTCACAACAAAAATAATCGTGATTTGCCAGAAATAGAAGTCTCGGGGCATCGGTAATTAATGACACAGTCATTAATTTGAACTAATCTTTGATAACTCATTTGCATATCAAAGTTATTGAGATTCCACTTTAACTTTATAATTTATATATAATTGTGCATAAATAATTTCCAGCGAATTTTTTGCTAAAGTCCTTTTAAATGTCTTTAAATACACGCTTAAAAAGTTATGCAACTTTCAGCAAACATTGTGTAGTACATCCACGTGCTGACAACAGTTTTTGAACTTTTATCAAAAAACTCAAAATCACATTTTTAAATACTTTTTAATAAAATTTTATTAAATTCATTAATAAATCAACGTTCTAATTACCACTTAAATTATAATTTTTTTTTATATTTATTTTCTTAATATTATTTGTCGTAAATAATTTCCGCACAAAACGTTATAGGAACCAACGTGCTCGGTCGAAGCACGTATGCTACTGGGGCCAGGAGATCCCGCGCGCCGAGTCGGCCTGTTTCTCAAGAGGGAGAGGGACATTGTTATGGGCAGGTACAACACGGGGCATACCTAGCTGGTTCGTTTGTTTTTTTTTTGACTAAATTTAGGTACAATGGACGATTGATTTAATGATACTAATAGGCATTATATTTATTAATAAAATATTATTGCAAAAAAAACAAATATTATTACGTTAATAATTTTATCATCACAACACAAAAACAACTCTAAAAAAAAAACCAGAATAAAACACAATTAACGGATCACATTAATCAGCTCAAACATAACATTGATTTTTCCAATCCCACGATCCTACATTTTGAAAATAATTTATTTAAAAGACGATTTAGCGAAGGATGCCTAATATCTTTACACAACGAGACGGTCATAAATAAAAGATTGGACAACAATTCGCTTTGCAATGACTATAAAATAATCTTTGACCGTTTTCAAAACACTTTATTATTTTATTATTTTACTAAAAACATATGTTTGCCAGTCTTTTTACACTTTCGCAAAATTTGTAAACACAATTCATTCAGTATTTAATCGTTAGTCAATCTGTACAGACTAGAATGTAACCAAAAAATTGTCAAAAAAAATAATTAGTTTAAATGTTTCAGTTATTAATAGCTTGGTTTATCATAGTGTAGTGTATTTTTGTATAATTAATTTCTTAATTATAAGTATATATATACAAGTTCTATAACATTATATTATTTTTCTCCTACATCATATAAAATCTTTTAGTTTTTCCACTGAATGACGGTCTCGATGATGACCGAAACGTATGGATAAATAAAGTATTTCAAAACTACTTTAGTTTTTTTTACTTGGTGTTATTTTCGATTCTAAATAACTTATCAATATATACATATATATATTTTCATAAAGATTTATATATATATATACTAGCTGACCTGGCAAACGTTGTTTTGCTAAGTAAGGTATATTCTAAACAATTCCTAGGGAATCAAAAATATTAGTACTTTAAGTGTATAAGGATGTGTTGTTTCAATGCTCTAAACAATGAGGTATTATAAAAACAAAAAATCCCATTAGTTTGTCTATATTTTGTCAACACAATCAAACTGGAAATTTTATACACTTTCTATAGAAAAAATGGTATAATCTAATCGAAGTCTTTTTCGGTCTTTCGACTTATTGAATACGTTTCAAGATTTTTTCAGATTCTTTTTGGATTCTGGATTTTGTGTATAATTGTAAATAATACTACTGAACTTATACAAAATTTTCAAATTTCAGAGGAGAGATAAAAAATTAATTAAGTATTTCTTTTTTGTCCTGCTTTTTGAAAAGTTTCAAGTAACAATCGATGAATTAAAGTAAATTTAATAAAAAGTATATATGTAGAGCAGGGCGAGGCACAAAGATCCAATTTGACTTTGAGCAAATATAAAGTGTATTGTGAAAACCATAACAATTATATCACAACAAATAAATTTCAAACGAACAATTAACTGACTACGTTCAGTAAAACTGCCTTCTACTTTATCACTGTAGAAATGTGCTTTTTTATGTTTTTCAAAAATTTGTTATCTAGACCTTTTTACCCTATAGGCGGGGTAACTTGAAACGGTCAGGTGGCAAACAGGTTTGAAGTCTTATTTTAATTTTAAAGGATTTTACAAAATGATTACATTTTTAAGTAATGCTAAAAATCTACCAATGGAAGAAAATACTTATATTATTTCAAAGATTACCGTTTATCTCCCTATAGCAAAGTCTTTAAATCAAGTTTGTAGCTGGCTATACATCTTTTTTCCTATACTTTCAAATATTGTTGTTAAACAATGCTTAACTTTACTGATTTTTGGCACATCGGTGGTGAATCTTTTTAATCCCGGACCTTCATATATTAATATCTATTCTGCGATAAATTCTGGGAAATTATAATTGGAAAAATGTTATTCGACAAAATGTCCATTTGATCGATACCAAATTTAGGTTCTGAATTTAAATTAGATAAATAAAAAATAATATAATCTAGAAAATGTTTTATAAATACCAATAGTATATAATTATACAAATGAGATCTTTCAGAGCACCGTGTTTTGAGAAAAATATGCCAAAAAGTGCATTTTCATATTAACATATCAAAAAAGTTTATATTTTGAGTCTCTAGTAACACTTGCGGCCCGTTTACTAACGTTTTTGTATATAAATAAAACTACAAACAAAACTACTTACTACAAATTTATCATAAATAAATAATATTCGAGTAAAACATCCTATTAAACGTAATTGAACATCATCTGTCAAAAGCGTTTGACATTTCACGAAATTGCCACCGTCCATTGTTTTAATTAAATTACGCTTCTACAAAAATTTTCAAATTGAAAATGTAAAGTTTATACGCGGATTTGTAATAATTTCTCACCTTTTAGACTTTCTCTGGATTGGCACGAATTTTTCAAGAGTAAGACTGGCCAAATCGATTCAGCCGTTTTCGAGTTTTATTCGGACATTTGAAAGAGAGCTCCATTTTTATATATAAGATAAATCTGTGTATGTGTCCAAATTCATATAGACCATCGATTGTATCATTTAATTTAGTTCCCTTCCATCAAACCAATAATACATCACACCAAATCAAATCCCAATCTTTTAAACAACCTATTAATATTGTATGGGTGTTTATTTATTTTGAAATTTATCCTCTTATGTCAGGATAATACGCGCATTGTGATTCCGATTTTCGTCATTTGTCACTGACATTTTTGATGTGTGAGGTCCTGCAATCACATTCAAAATTTGATATTCGGTATTGTTAAAATATGACTTTGCAGATATTGAATCTTGACTGAGTGTGATAAAAAGAAATACCTGGAAAAATTATTATTAACCAGAAAGTTTGACTAATATTCGTGGTTTCTCATGTTCCAAAAGGTGGTTCTATGATATTTTTTGTCAAATGAATGATTGGCTTTGCCTCTTGAGGATAAATTCAAAATATTTATATGATAAAAAAAGAAATATACTTTCCAACTGAAAATGTTTAGGATTTGATAATGTTGAGAAAAATTATAAAAATCACATTACAATATAATAATTTAATGTGTATGTACGTATGTAATCCCGTTTGAAAAGTTTAAGTTCATCTGGATAGCTAACTATTATATTTAATTTGTTTTTACTGAAGTAAAGGCATCATTTTATTAAAAAAATATTCTATTTTTTAAAAATATTTATACGTTTCGTGGATATATAATGTTCCACTATGTATTAAAATTAAAATGTTTTGAAATAAACATTTACTAAGTATTAAAATTAACCAACATTAAGTTCATTCTTATATTATTTTATTATTGTTTTGTTTTTTCTTTTAGCAAGATGAACATATTTGTATGATAGGTATATAAGTAAATAGGTATTATATGTACGTATGTATGTATATAAGTAAATACTCACAATGTATGTATGTATATAAGTAAATAATCTCAACGTAAGATTATTATAAAAAAATTAAAAAATTAAAAAAATATATTTGTTACAAGATTCCTATTATCTCTCATACCAGAAAAGTTATCTGGTGCAGATGTATGAATTATAGTAAATATAAGTGAATGCATCGCCCTATAATTACTAGTTTTAACTACAATATTTACTATGTTTTAATTGTCAAAAAAAACTATTACTGACGACTAAATTTGATTACTACTATATTTCAGTAAATTAAATTAAGCGTATTTAAAACTCAGTTTCAATACTT